AACCGGTTCCAGTTATATCGGTTAAATCAAAATATCATGTCAAGTTCAGTAGAGCATCTTAACATAATTAATCAGTTAATTTATCAGTCTGAGCATAGTCCTTAGTAATTGTTTATATTATATTTCAGTTTGATCAGGCTTCAGTCATCAGCACTACCTTTCATTTTCACGGATCAGGTGGGGACTCAGACTAAGTACTACATTGATTATAATTACGCTACCATGTTTGAGGTATGTATTATCAGTATCCGCTCGGAATGGTCGCCGGTCCATTCTGGGTTCTAGTGGCCTTAATCTGCCCACTAGAGTGTGCACATGGTGTCCGGCTTAGGCTGGCAGATGTTCAGTTATCAGTCAGGTGATTTATATCACGAGATCAGTATCAGATTATTCAGTACCGGTATCAGATATCAGTTTCAGTTTTAGTTCAGTTATATATACTAGGATCATGATATTGTTATTATATTCACTGTTTACTTTAGTATGAGTTCCTGCGGAGCACAGTGTTTTAGTGCTCACGCCCCCACGTTATTCATGTTTTTCAGGTCACAGAGTCGGAGACGAGGAGTGAGCTGGCGAGCAGTTCAGGACATTTGTTTATATGTATATATATTATGTTTTGGCTACACTGATGTTTCCGTTACTGTTCAGTTTTTACAAATCAGCTTTTGATCCGACCTAGTCGGTTAATATATTAGATAACCATTTTTAGTATCAGTTTAAAATTAACGGTTTTCAGAATAAGTCAGATTTTACGGTAGCACCCCGAATCAGATTTTGAAAAAAAAATATTTTATTCACTTTATTTAGAAAATTTGCGAAAAAGCGCACTCTGAATTTCAGTAAATAGCGGGGTGTTACAGAGTTCCTTGGGAATAACCAAAAATAATTTTAAGTATCTATTGTTGGCATAGACTGAAGCTATGGGGACCAATATACTTGTAATGAGAGTGCTAGCCAAAGCGAAGCAACAACAAAAAGATAGATCTAGCACTGAACAAATGACCTAGTAGACCTATCACTACAACTGAAAAACTACATAAACAGACTAGAGAGCTAAACAAAGCAAAAAGCCATGCATGACAACAAAACACAGTCCAAAATCAATATGACAAAGCTGGGGGAAGCAAACCAACTGCAGGAGCTAAGAGCAACAGAATTCCATCCAAGCTGAGTTGGCTGCATGAACAATTGTGATATCAGGGAGCCAATGGTTCTGGAAAACCCATAGATTACGGGCTTTCCAAAGCCACCAGAGGAGGTAGATGATGAGCTGGATTCTTTGATTTGCAATGGCAGATTGCTTGAGAGAGTTGAGCTTGATCCACCAATGTTTGAAGCTGTGAGAATAGTCTTCTAGTCCATCCCCAGTGACTGAAGCCAGCTTCCAAACCCTCTTGGCTCTGGCACAGTGAAAGAGTAGATGCTCAATAGATTCCTTTTCATCACCACAAAGCATACAAATAGGATCAAAGGCTTTCAGTTTCTGGTTTAGAGCCTTGTTTACAGCTAGAGAGTTGTTGAAGCATTTCCAGACAAAGTGTTTTAGCTTCCCAGCCACTTTGGAAGACCAAATCCTGTTCCTTGCCTGTTGACTGGCCATTAGTTGTGTGCTACAACCTGGGATATCTAGTTTGTTCCACTTGTCTTCCACCAAGGTTTTGTACACCTCAGCAACAGAGATCTTACCAGAGTTGTTGTGCAGCCATGGCAGCTTGTCATTAGAGTTGGGCTCCATACCTTTGATGCTTAGGATAGCTGCAGCTTCATCCATGGGGAAACAAGTTCTCACTAGCTCAATGTTCCAACTTCTCCCTGTTTCATCCAGTAGGTCCTGCACCCATGTGATCCTATCTTGCCAGGGATTAAGAGGCTTAGGTTTGTGAGAGGGAAGAGAAGGAAGCCAGGGATGTTGCCAAATGTTGATATATTCTCTCCTATTAAATTTGAATATCACATTATTGGTGAAGAAAGAAGTGGTTTTTTTCCAGCTGGCCCAGAGCCAAGAAGCATTCCCTTACATTTTGGTAGAAAAAATGAAAGAGCTTAGGTAATACTTAGCTTTCAGAACCTTGCTGACTAGAAGTTCAGGATGGTTATGCAATCTCTAGAGCTGCTTGGCAATAAGGGCTTAATTCATTAGGTGGATGTCATGTAAGCCAAGGCCACCTTTCTCTTTTGGGAGGGTAATGAGGTTCCAAGCCTTCCAGTGAATTCCCCTTGACCCCTCCTTTTTGTTTTTCCACCAGAAATC